TATATATATATATATATATATATATATATATATATATATATATATATATATATATATATATATATATATATATATATATATATATATATATATATATATATATATGCACATTCTTTTGTCAATGTAATAGATGGTTGCTCATGTCATGAGCTGTAGCTTTAGGTTGTGATTGGAAAATAACTTTATGGTGTCCCTTGCTTTCTATTTATTCTTAAATTCTCTACATGTATGTGTTTCTACTTGTATTCTTGCACAGTTGTTTGATTTTTTTATTTTTTCTTAAATTAATATCGTTGTTTCAGAGTACTGGATGAAAGGACTCCATATAATGGTGTAATTTAAATAGTGGGTGTTTTAATCTATTAGTAGATCTAGGGACACTAGCATTTTGCATTCCGAGCTTTTGTCTCCTCAATGAAGCAATCTTGTGGAATTTTTTTTCTTTTGTTTCTTTTTTTTTTGGTTGAGAAGATGCCACTGCCAGTCATCCAGTTCAAGGTGCAAGCATGCAGGTTCAGACTATTATTGCACCATAACAGCTACATCCAAATTCTAAAACTCATTATCTGAAAATTTTGTATACCATATATAGACAAAGAAGCTGGGTGAGTTTACTCTTTTATGGGCAGAAGGCACTCTTACGGATCTCCAACAAAGAGATTGATTTCATACATATGCCTATAAGATGGATCAATCTTGCCAAGAGGGAACTGCTAGGAGTTCATTTAAATTGTTGCATGTTGTTGATGAGAACAAAGATTTGTGGGATTTGTCCACATCCCAATTGGATCTCATGGATCCCTGATTGTGATTGTTAAGGTCCAATTCTAGGAGATCTTTTTGGTGATGTGACTGGATCCACCTAGAGCTGATCCCTCGGGATCTAGTTTTAGTTGGTCAAACTTGTATGGCTGGATCTTGGAGATCCAAGCTGCATTTTGATCAGTTCTAGAAAAAAACCTGATCCCAATATTTGATCCAGCCTATTTAAATCAATCTCAGTGCTGTGATGTTGGACGAAAACTATTACACTAATTGTACAAAGAGAATAGCAGGTGTTTTCTATGTGCTACGCAGCATGTTGTGAATTTGATTTAAAAAAGCATTGATATCTTGAAATATTTCTGATGTAACAGGTTGCCTCTTATGAGTTCACCACCTTAACTTGTATTCCGGGTGTGATCGTGTACAGAGGTGCTAAAATTCAGGTATTCTATTAATACAAAGGTCCATTTGCTTTTTGAGGATGTCTTTAGAGCCATGTGGTGATGAAGTTGATTTATTTCTAATATATGATGCCTCTACAATTGACTCTCTTATCAGTATATTATATTGGTATTGTACTGTGACTGTCTACTACTGTTCTTTGTGTGGTTTTAGTTTTCCCCTCGCATTCATGTTAGTACATGCTGTCATGTTATGTCACAACTAAAACTCTACGGGCGTCAGATCCATGCTTGTCTCACATGATATACACAGATAGCATGCATGAGCTCTCATGCTGATACCATCTCAGCATGATACAGCACAATTGAAACTCACCTAACACTTTAAAATACTCAAGTATATTGGTGTCATATCATTTGTCTGTCTTTCAGTTTAAGGAAATAGTAGTAACTAATCTTTAAATTCAAGAAGTCTAAAGAAATTGTCTGGAAACAAATTCCATGTTTGCTGATTAAAGCTCTTAAATTACACATTGTGAAACTTTGCATATGCCCGGAAGAGTTAGGTTAAACCATATAATGCCCTTTTGCAAGTGTTTTAAGACTTTGAGATTATAGGTCTTTGCATATGTAGCCTTATAGAGCATATCTGATGATCCAACTATCACGCGGTCTTCTTGTGTGCTCAACCAATACACATCTAAAAAGTTCTTATCCAATTTTTTAACAGTTACCACCTTGTTTAACTGATCTACTAAAGATTCAGATGCCTTTATCAAAATGGAGCTGTAATAAGTTCTTAATTACAATACAAAATTATGAGAACTTTTATAGTTCTCTTCAAGTAACCAATTGCGAGAACATAGGTATGCTGCTTAAGAATTTTCTCCATTACATACTTTGACTAATAATTACAATTTTTCTGCTCCTTGAGTAAATGAAATGGAGCTAGTGTTTTTTGTTTTTTCTGATTGAGATTCCTGCACTTCCTGAAATCTGATTTGTCCCTGAACCATAAATTTGTAACTGTGGTTGGATAGCAAGTTGACATGGCAACACTCGCATTCCAAATAATCTTCTAATCTTATGAATCTTTACCTGGACATGCCACTTGCATCCACCCAGCATTGTAAACAATGATTCCCCACCCTCAAAGCCTTTCCCTTGTTTCTTATCTACTTGTTACCTTCTGCCCTTAATGCGCCAATCACTCAGTTCCTGCTAAGTGTCAACAAGCACGAGTGTTGCCATGTCAACTTGCTATCCAACCATGTTTATTGAACCTACAACCACTGATACTAGGTCCCTCGAACCAATCTGCTTTAATAAGAAGCCACAACTGCCTTCTGATTTTCTAGATGTGGCCAGCAGTAATTAATGGCAGATCAGATATGCTCTTCTAGACATTCCATGTATCTTAACTATTTTTTACTCCAAACAGCAACCATAGTTTGCAGCCTTAGACAAGGTCTTAGTATGTGACTATTCCCATTATACATGCCAACCAGATGTCTCGAGAAAGCCCATCTCAAGCACCATCCTGGACAGTGGCTTTTTCACCTCTGATTCAGAAAAGAATTGCCATGAAATTGCATATTTGAAGCTGCTTTTTAGCCACTCGTGAGGATTTCTATAAAATATGGATAATGATTGAACCAACTTCTTTTTTTAGTTCTAAATAAAATTTAGGTGAAACACAAGCTTTTATTACTTAATATAGTTGATTTGGTTTTCTAGTCACACCAGCAGAAGATGCATGCATATACATATTTGCATATTAAGATCAAAGCACATTAGTGCTTGCAATCAAAACAACTCCCGTTGCAGTTTGCAAGCCCCTGTTAGGTTGTCTTGCATTATCGTGTCATTGATTCTTCTAGTTAACAGAGTTCACTTCATAGTTGTGGTTTTTGTTAGATGATTTTTTTTCTAATGTGTTGGTTTTCTTCAGTTATTGGATCTACCGGGGATCATCGAGGGTGCAAAGGATGGAAAGGGTAGAGGAAGGCAGGTATGCAATATGCCCAACATTTCAATATTGTGTATGCTTTTGTGCATATCTCTTTTAATCAATGAATTATTGCAAAAATGAACTTTGTAGGCAGTATTAAGGATGTTTCCACATACATAGGTGAGAGTGAGCATGGATGTTTTGTCAAATAGCTTATTTCTTGATGTCGAATTAGCACAATGATTACTTGTCAAACTTTTAACACCTAACATCTAAAATAGCTTTTTTTAGACATTGAACCTAATTAGTTGATTAGGAAGCATGTAAAACTTAATCTATTTCTATTAGAGGTATCAGATATCTTTTCTTCACCTTTTTGTCGATTAGCAAGAACAGGGTAACAAACAAGTCGGCTCATAAGAGAATAACATCTGAAGCATATCTGATTATAGCATCAAAGAACATTGTAGGAATAATTCATGTGTTATTTATCAATATCTTTAGAGTTTGGCAAGAACTAACTTAGGTGGCTGGTGGCTTAGCATACAAGAATGACAGGAGTGGGTTGGGCTACATGGACAATGAGACAAATGGTTCTGAATAACAACCTTCATGAATAAGGAAAAGGTGGAGAAGTAAGATTGTTAACCAAATAAAGGTCATGCTCTCTGCAAAAGTTCTTTAGGAATTTGGTGAATATGAAAAATAGATTGTGGGACTATTTTGTACCAGTTCTGTAGTTATTTTGAAGATAATAATATACTATTTTAAGGACAAATGCTTGATTTCACATGGTGGGGACTTATAACGTGTCTAATGAGTTATTAAATAGAGGTAGCTTATTTTGCATGTATTCATTGCCACATTGCCCTGAACTTCTATTGTCTACCAAGTATTTTGGAAATTTTATTATCCTGCTTACTGATATGTTTGAATTTAGCTGATTAATTTTTTATTTTTCAGGTGATAAGTACTGCTAGGACGTGCAACTGTATTTTGATTGTTCTTGATGCTATCAAACCAATAACTCACAAGCGGCTTATCGAGAAAGAACTTGAGGGGTTTGGCATAAGGTAATATGGAAAATGATTTTATTCTTACATGAACCTTGTTGTGTTTATGGTGCATCTGGGATGAGACTGGAAACACAGAAGGCCAGAACCTACACCAAATTTATGTGTTACTCCATATGGTTTTGTTTGTGTGGAGTACCACTTGGTTATATAGAGAATTATCATCAACAACTTGGTTTCTTCTTGTGCATTATTTAGATATTATCTTAAGAGATAATATTTGGACAACAAATAACCATTAAAATTATTAGAAGCACCATGTAAAGATGTCTTCTTCATCATCCCAAGAAGTTAAAGCAGTGTTGCATCTCTTTGCAGCTTTGCCTACTACTATCTAGATTAAAAATATTTCAACATGCAGTTTTTGTTTGTGTGGAGTACATCATCAACAACTTGGTTTCTTCTTGTGCATTATTTAGATATTATCTTAAGAGATAATATTTGGACAACAAATAACCATTGAAATTATTAGAAGCACCATGTAAAGATGTCTTCTTCATCATCCCAAGAAGTTAAAGCAGTGTTGCATCTCTTTGCAGCTTTGCCTACTACTATCTAGATTAATAATATTTCAACATGCAGTTTTTGTAGTTCTGCATCAAAATTATTTTATTATAGAAATATGCTTTAATGAATATATTGAGTTACTATTGATGCATTAGTAGTTCTTGATTATCGTGCTTTGTGTGCTGCCATTAGCTGTTTGCATAGTTTCAATGTTTGTTTGCATTTGTATATATATATATACACACACACACACATGCTTATGTGTGTGTACGGAGCTCCACACTGATTTTTTTGTCTGCTGACAATCGATTACCTCTGAAAAGATATAAATGCATTACTTTGATCAAATGGCAGGTTAAATAAGGAGCCCCCTAATTTAACTTTCAGAAAAAAGGACAAGGGTGGCATCAACTTCACATCTACAGTCACAAACACACAATTGGACCTTGAGACAGTTAAGGCAATATGTAGTGAATATAGGATACATAATGCTGATATTTCTCTCCGGTATGATGCGACTGCAGATGATCTGATAGATGTTATTGAGGGAAGCAGAGTCTATATGCCATGCATCTATGCAGTGAACAAGATAGATCAGATTACACTCGAAGAACTGGAAATCCTAGATAAGCTTCCTCACTACTGTCCAGTCAGGTATCATTTTATTATACATGTATATGTTTTATCCTTTATCCTTAACAATGGTGTTACCACCTCAATTTATTAGAATTGTCTGAAGTTGTACTAGTCGCTGAAGTCAGAATGAATTATTTTCTTTTGTAATCGTGTAACAGTGCTCACCTGGAGTGGAATCTTGATGGTCTTTTAGAAAAGATATGGGAATATCTTGATCTGGTTCGAATTTACACAAAGCCAAAGGGTCTGAACCCAGATTACGAGGACCCTGTCATCCTATCTTCCAAGAGGACAACCGTTGAAGACTTCTGTAATAGAATTCACAAGGACATGGTCAAACAGTTCAAATAGTAAGTCCTCTTACATTCATTTAATTTCTGCTGTTTCTTTTAGTTGCTATGAGTTCTTCAGGATGATCCGCATGATCAATCTCTTTCTAATTGAACCATGCAGTGCACTAGTTTGGGGTTCAAGTGCGAAGCATAAACCACAGAGAGTTGGCAAGGTACTCCCTTTTTACTCTTAAAATTTGCACGTGTCAAGACCATATCAATTTGTGAACCTTGCTGCCCTACTTGTAACGCTTCAGGAACATGAACTCGAAGACGAGGATGTTGTTCAAATCATCAAGAAGGTGTAAATCAAGCAAAGAATTTCTGTGGTTCTTGGGTTGATCCTCAATGGATTGCAAGGGATGGCAGCTGGGTCTGAGTTTTGAGTTGAGCTCTTCTTTATTAGGAGTTGTTGTCATCCTTGTATTCCTGCTCGGGTTAGAATTAAACATACTACTGTATGACAGTGCTTCTACTGGTGAAAAGTTTGCACTGCTGTAGAACTGAACCGAGCAACATTTTGTGATTGAGATCATTCATGGAGACGTTGTTTAAACTCTGACCATGCTACATTCCAGGTACATGAAATACATCCCACAGTGCTTTTAAGACTGCAGGCTTTGCAAAGAAATGAAAGTTGCATTATGTCTTTGCTGGTTCTCCCATGAGAGAGAGATACAAGAACATTCATCCATGGCAACACCGTGAGTAAAGCTGCTATGTTTAATCTTTCTTCACTTAACTAATAGATCGAGTGACTGGACTATTTTTTGTTGAGCAGGACTTTTGCATAAATATAGAAGACAAGGAACACTATGGGCTGGGAATCTCTCAGTTTTCATCGACACATTGTCCAGCCAAATCCAAGTGTTGGCAGCATATTACAACGGACATAGCCGCCTCAAGGTTTAGCTCCGTGTATGGCACGCATAGTGGCACTTAATAGTTAAGATTCCAACAACATACAACTTTTTTCTTAGCCAATAGCAACAAGGTAATAAGGCCACCCAAAGTGTGCAGGGCAGACCGAGAAACACGCAACCCACAAACTATTCTACGTGAACGCAGACGGCCACTGCTTCATGCTCCTATACAGCACTGGAAGTAGCCCATAAACTTCTTCCTCCCCTGCACCACAAAGGTAAAGCATCACAGAAGCTCCTACTTTTAGAGCAGTAAACCAAGACTTATCGAGTTTTTAGACTTCATATAGCTAAAAAAAGATGCATATGTGTTTTTGATTATTGAAACTATATAATGATGAATGCAGGGACAAAGTAATCTGCCTGCCAGACGAGTATGTTTTGGTTCTTCCTGAAGGAGGAAAAAGCACCCTTTCCCTGGAACGAACGATGAGATAGACAGGTAACTTTTGCTCCTCCTCTCCCAACATGTCACAATGTACTTGTTGTAGTCAGTGCGAGTACATCAATCATTAATCTGTCATAAATTTCCACAGGGCCATCACACCACACTCTCTGATCAATCGCATCAATGCATGGGATACCGGAGCCAATCGCTTTGCCACCCCCCACCTGCTGCTTCATCTCTCCATCAACTTCTCCACCACGCGCAAATGGGCCACCGTCCCACTACGGCCGAAGGCCTCGCCCACTTGCATGATTCCAGGTCTGGAAATGGCCGATGACTTCTACTAGCTACATTGCATGGTTTTCAAGTCTCACATTCCTCTCCCACGATTTCATTCCACTCCCAACAAAAATCTCTGTTTTGTGCAGGCCACGGATTTAATACGCAGCCGTGTTCTTCAAGCTAAGTTTCATGGCTATTTCAGATATGTGAATCTATCGATATTTTCTACGGAGAATTAAGTGATTACTTCCAACATTTTTCTCCCAAAAAAATGAAAATTAAAAAGGAAAAGTAAAGAGGGAGATCGAAAGTACGGTGGGTGAGCCGTGGTGGTGGTGGATGGGGCGGCGTAGGTCGGGCTCGGGAAGGCTGTGGCGTGGCGCCTCCTGCTCCTCCTTGTTGGTGGTGCCGGATCGGAGCTCGTCGTCGTTTCCGAGGCTGGCGCGGGAGGTGTTCTTGTTCTGCTTCCGCATCTCCCGGATCTTGGTGAAGTCCATGGAGTAGTCCGGCACCCCGTTCTTCATGTCCCACTCCCCAAACGCCGGCACCGACATCCACCCGCCGCTACCACCATCACTCTGCAACCCAAACAAAATCAAGATCGAGCACTACAAACGAAGAAGAAGAAGAAGAAAAGCTTGAGCGGTGACCTCCTTGGAATCGCCCATGGGGGATTTCTTCGCAGCTTCAAAGGGGTGAGTTGTAGGCCGAGGAGCAACTAACATGGAACCCAGCAGCCTCAGCACCGTATTTATTGCGCGTAATTGATGGGAGAGGAGAAGACGACAACAGTGGCTACGCTATGCTTCGTGGAAGATGAGGAGGCCAGGAAGACAGTCTGTCGAGTGGAACAGCTGTAGTCCTTGGGTATTCACAGGTTCCAGTGGAGGGGTGAGGGTCGCAACCGTGGATGGTTTTTGATTGGATCCTCATGCCGACCCGCGTTATGGCCGCGTGTCGACAAGCTAATGACGTGGATAGATGTATCGTTTTCATCAGGTCACAGCACAAGATGGTGTGATGCGGCACGAGACATCAAACAGAGGAATACGGCCTCCCATTGGTGGCCAGCCTTGGGGTCGTAAATGAAGCTACTGGGACCCACACTCTCGACCACGACATCGGTGGTGGGCCATGCGAACCGTCATGGTATCTAATCTTCGCAGGGCCAGGCAAGTAGTTAGGAGCACTTAACCGGAAGAGTTAAGTAGCTGAAGTCAATATCAAATTGTTCTTGGGATTCGGGTTACGCAGCGGCTGCCGATCGCCTATCCGAGCTCAAGCAGGGTTCAGGAGGCTTTCTTCATTCGACGGACTTCCACGAATGCCTCATCATTAGTTTTATCTTCTTGATTCAACGGGCGATGATTTAGCCATCGATCAGAACTTCAAGATTCGCGCGGTTTAGCTGATCCAAGCGTACGCATTTGATCTTTCATTATATTACATCCAAGGTTAAGATTCTTATGTCCAACTTTTTTGGTCCTAACAAGTCCAGCCCAATCTTTATTGGGCTCAATTTAGGCCCAGATGGAATCATGTTAATTGATTTAGGAATAGGTTTTTTTTTTTTTGGGGTGTTATGCTTCGTAGAACACATCGATCCGGATGGGGGAATCGAACTCGTGGAGGACGCAAGCCACGAGCTCCAACTCTTACACGTGGCTACCCGCGAGTGGTCGACGATCGCAGCACGAGTCTTGAAGCACCCTGCGGTTTTATCTCCACCCCTCTTTTCCTTCTCCACAATTATTCATTTTATTTTATTTCTTTACCCTCGATCTTAAGAACAATCGCAGAAACACTATCTCCCCATCGCACCCGTCGAAATAGCTATTCTCCCACAAAAAGATCACGAATCATCCGTTCGATCGTGTCGGTCTTTCTGTGATTTAGTTAAATGGCAGGGGTATAAGTTCAATTATTTTATAAATTATTACGAAAGCGAAGAGGTCGATGGATCGATATAAGTATCTGTTTCGAGCTCAAACCATTTGCGATGGGCGGTGGGTTTTCCCGGTGAACTCTCTACGCGGAGAGCGCTCGCGGGATTACTCGCTACCCTCCATCGAAATCTTCTTCGTGAGTCCCTGGTTTTATAGCCCTAGTTTACGGCGAACTGCTTGAAGAATCTTCGTTGTTTCCCCTGCAAGGTTTCGCCCAACGTCGATTCTTTTTGACGCCGGTAATGGATCTTTCGACCAGGTTGCAAACCCTCGACCTCCGATCGGGATTCCTGTCGGGCTCGCCCCTTTTGGACGCCGGAAAGGCAGGAGTCCTGCCGCGGGTCCGTCCCTCCTCGGTTTCTCCCGCTGTGAATAGGCGATTCGGTGCGTCGTTTGTTAAAAGGACTGGCTTTGCTGGCTCTAGGATCAGAAGGCTCCGCGTTTCCCCCAGGGCCGCCGTGGAGACGGCCGTTGTGGATGCCGACACCGCCGGAGACCTCGAATCCCTCTTCTCGGAGAGCGCCGTGGATGATGCGTCGAGGAGGCAGGGGAAGAAGAAGTCGAGCACTGGGGCGTCGAGCGTCTCGTCGGGGGTTAGGTTAGAGAATATCAGTAAAAGCTTCAAAGGTGTGAGCTTGCTGAAGGACGTCAGCTGGGAGGTGAAGAAAGGGGAGAAGGTTGGGTTGGTCGGCGTGAATGGTGCCGGGAAAACCACTCAGCTGAGGATTATCGCCGGGTTGGAGGAGCCGGACTCCGGGAATGTGGTTAAGGCGAAGGAGAATATGAAGATCGCGTTCTTGAGCCAGGAGTTTGAAGTTTGCCAAAACAGGACAGTGAAAGAGGAGTTCTTGAGCGTTTTCAAGGAGGAGGCGGAGGTTGCAGATAGGTTGGAGAAGGTCCAGAAAGCGTTGGAGAGCTCTGTAGAGGACCTGAGCTTGATGGCGAGGTTGCTGGATGAGTTGGACTTGCTTCAGAGGCGGTCACAGGATCTGGACCTAGATCAAGTGGATGTGAAAATTAGTAAGTTGATGCCTGAGCTTGGTTTTGCGCCTGAGGATTCTGATCGGTTGGTAGCATCATTCAGCAGTGGGTGGCAGATGAGAATGTCTCTTGGGAAAATTCTACTTCAGGTACGTTTGGTTAGCGTTTTAAGAACATTTTCTAGGATTTGATAGTTCATATGTGCTAATTCTTTAGTATGTTCATTTTAATCACAACAAAAAAGAGTGCTGATTTTTTTTGTTTCATCATAAATATGAATCTAGGGAATAATTGTGCAACTTGATTTACTTGTGAAACTTCAGCTTATCTTGTGATAAATAATCCTATTGTTTTTCATTGATTTAGGTTCTTCTGATTCATTTGTAGTGTTTTGTCCATTTCAGCTTGCTTGTCCTAATTATCTTATCTGTTTCTTGTTCTTTCTCTCTTCAGTCACCTCTTACTCAACATGCCATTTTCTTTAAAATGTGAATATTTAATTGTGAATATCATTACTATTTTTTAATGTTGCTCTATTGTTACAAATCATTGAGTTCTTATCTGGTTTTTTTATATTTGGTATTGATTTTACTGCTTGTTGTCAATTCATGCTTAATGATATGCATCATGCATTTTGTGCTAGTACAGATGGTGGATTTTTTAATATAAATCATGGTAATTGCAGGATCCTGACTTGCTGCTGCTTGATGAGCCCACTAATCACCTTGATCTGGATGCAATCGAGTGGCTGGAAGGCTATCTTAATAAGCAAGATGTGCCCATGGTTATTATATCCCATGACAGAGCTTTCCTTGATCAACTGTGCACGAAAATGGTAGAAACAGATATGGGAGTGTCCAGGACATTTATGGGTAACTATTCTGAATATGTGCTAGCAAAAGCAGCATGGGTAGAAACTCAACACGTTGCATGGGAAAAGCAACAGAAGGAGATTGAGCACACGAGAGACTTGATAAACAGATTAGGAGCTGGAGTTAATGCTGGACGTGCATCCAGTGAAGAGAAGGTACCTACTGATGTTGTTTCCTTGAACATTCTTCAAATACTATATGTGTTAGACCTTATTGATCTTGTTCCCTCCAAGTATCAGTTAGATCTTGGAGGCACTGCATCACATTTGTGAAGTGATAATGCTTCATTTAGTGACTCGAGTAGTAACTATTTGTCATACCAATTTGGTGACGAAAATCTTTGATTTCAGAAATCACAAACTGGTTGTCTTATCACTATAAAATGCACAAACAACCTAATAATAAATAGTACAATAGGAATATGTCACTAATAGAGTGGGTTAAAAGCTGAAAAATAGAAGGCCTCGAGTATATGTTACTAATACAGTAGATTAAATATTGACATGTAGAAGGCCTTTGATTATTACAATACCAATGTAATTTGCTTACTTAGCACATCCTGTGTCATGTTGTTTCTAGTTTCTTGAAACTGAGAAGTGTGTCATGCTTGTTCCTTATGCTATAATTAACTCATGCTGATGTGTTGCCAGAAATTGGAGAAACTCAAAGAAGAAGGACAAGTTGAGAAGCCTTTTCAGAGAAAGCAATTAAAAATTAGATTCCCAGAGCGTGGGAGAAGTGGGAGAACAGTCCTGACCATTAAGAACCTAAATTTTGGATATGGTGATAAGGTAAGGTAACTTTTCTTAGACAATGGAAGTATAGTGCTTAACTATAAGGACTTACTTTCTTTGAGGCAAAGAGAAGTTACAAGTATATTAGGAACATCATTTTTCTTATCTGATGTGTTTTTTGATGTGGCAGGTTTTGTTTAAAAAGGCAAATCTTTTAGTTGAGAGGGGTGAGAAAATAGCTATTATCGGGCCAAATGGTTGCGGAAAGAGCAGTTTGCTTAAACTTATTATGGGACTGGAGAAGTCTCAAGGGGGTGATGTTTTGCTTGGGGAGCATAATGTGTTGCCAAATTATTTTGAACAAAACCAGGTAGGTTAACTGTGCTTGAAATCGATCACTTCAGTTTCTTGGTGACAACTTGTAGCACACAAGATGCCAGGATATTGATGGTCTTGGAAATAAAGAAATAAATACTAACAATTTTGTGATAATGAGAATAGCATCCTTCATTAATTCTATTTTGTGCTAAATCCATGACTTCAGTTTCACAATAGTATGTTGGTTTGAAAAATTGAAGGATGTGTTTTATAGTTAACTAGATCTTAATGAACCCTTCTGGCGTTATTGTATTCTTTAATAATTGCAAAGAGGTGTTTAATTCACAAAAAACAATTAACAGGCAGAAGCACTTGATCTGGAGAAAACTGTGCTAGAGACAGTTGAAGAAGCTGCAGAAGACTGGAGAATTGATGACATAAAAGGTCTCCTTGGTCGTTGTAACTTCAAATCAAATATGCTTGATAGAAAAGTTTCTGTTTTGAGTGGTGGAGAAAAGGTATGCAACCTGGAAATATTATTTCCTTACTCTCGATTTTCATTCCATCCTTCTTTGTTTTTCTTTTTTTTTTCATTCACTGGAACTCATTTTGATTGTGAAGGAGAGATGGATTCGATCATATCTAGATTATTTCAATCATTTTTGTATATGTATTGAAACTGTTAGACTAAACCTGTTGACATCTGTATTGTTCTCAAGGATTTGCATTGTCGTGATAATATGAAGATTTGTTGGTTTACTACCGATGTAATAGTACATAAGCTATAGTATAGTGTAGCTACATATTTATGTGTAACAACAATATACAAATTATAACAAGTTCACAACTGCAGTTTAATTGTTGTGCACATCAGTTGTAGCTTCACAAGATCCCTGACTTTGTAAGACAAAGAGTTTCACAAACTAATACTTAGAAGTCCATGAAGTGTTGCTTTTCTTCTCTCACT